AATTTTGTAATATTTTGTTTGTTACAAAAAATTGGTTTTTGTTTTTGTGAAGTAAATAAACAACAATTAAAAAGAAAATTGTAATATTTTTTGTTTTTCCCCATTGATTAACCGCATTTGTATTTTGTCCCTGAATTTTTCGTTTTAAAATTTGTATTACTATTTTCGTTTTGTTTTGTTTTTATTTTTGTAATTTATTTAGTTTTTGTTCAACAACAAAAAAATTCAGCAGCTAATAAAATCATTCATTGTCGATAACCATGTTTTGGCACTCACCGTATAATTAGTTTTTTTTCTGTTCTGATCCATTCAACAAACACTTCGTAAAACTTAACACAAATCATATCGTTCCATCTCTATTCTCTGTCTGTCAGTCGCCCCCACTTACTAACCAAAAAAATAACAACAAATTCATATCCTAAAAATCGACTACTAATCAAAAATTCATTGAGTGTTGAATGTGTTTCAATTCTTTCGTTTGCTAAATGTTTACACTAACAAAAAAAAAAAAAAAAAAACTAAAACAACAACTGAAAAAAGCATGATTTCAATGTGTGTTTAGGTAATTAGACTAAAACATAAACAAAACCAAACAAAATAATACTTATTTCGAATGCATGTGATTAACAACACTATTTAAATTTAAAAATGGGTGGGATCAACAGCCTACCAAAGATTTTTTGAAAATTTAGTTTAAAAATAATATTTTCACAGGGACTAGCAGGGTAATAAGTTTGAATTTTTAATGCTATTTTTCCAATAACAAACAGGTCAATAATAGTGTATTTTTTCCAGAATATTTTCCTAGGATCAGAAGGGCATAAGCTTCAATTTATTAATGATATGTTTCAAGGGACACAATATTTATTCAGGGGAAAATTTTCAAATACAGATCAATATACATATTATTTTTTGGAAAACTTTTTTAAGTTCCATTAGATGGGGTTGCGGTTTTTATAAATATTTGGGGATTTTTTTAAGACTACCCTACAAATATTTTCTTTTTTTAACGCTACAAGTCTAATGGTAAAGAACTGTCGGGCCTTTAAATATAAATTTTAGTATCTGTTTTAATAGATTATGAGGTCCTGTGTGTCTGACACGTAGGAAGAATTTTTGTTCGACATTTTGAAAATATTTTTTCCGAAAACTGAATTGAAAATTTTTTTCAGGGCCGACATGACACTATGCGTTTTCAAATTGCAGATTTTATTTTTTGTCCAATGTCCAATTTAAAATATTGGAGGAATATATTTTTAGGAATTTTTATTGTTAGTTATTATTAAAATGTTTTTCGATGACTTTATGGTCCAATCCGTATTATTTTATAAATATGTATATTTGTAGGGATATTTTTTGAGTAATAAATGTTCAGGAATACTATTTATCGGTTCAGGGAATAGTTTTTTCTTCGCAAGATTTTAGAAAAAAAAATTTCGATGTTGTTTAAAAATATATTTTTAAGGCTAAGAATTTGAAGAATCGTCATTTGAGGGATAAAATTCTATATTTCTTCGAAGCCTAGATATTCAGTAATTTTATTTTGATGTCTTAAGTGTAAATTTTCAAAAATATAATATTTCAATATTTTATAAACAGTAGATTTTTAAGAAGAATATAATATGTGGCGAGGATTATAATGTCTGGAAGAATATTTGTCATAATGTACACTTTTAAGATTTTTTTTCGAAACTTGGGTTTTTAAGAAAATTTCATTCGATGAGTAGATTTTCTAGAATATTTTTCGAAGCGTAGATTTGAAGGAATTGACATTTGAGATCGAGTGGATTTGGGAAATCTAAACGTAGTTTAATTCATACTGTTCATAATAATATTTTTTCAAGGCGTAGACTTTTAAGAATATTTATACCCTACACCGCTATGTTGTCAGGGTATTATAGCTTTGTGCAGCCCCAAAAGTTTGTAACGCCGCAAAATATTGGTCCTAGACCCACCTTTAAGAATGCCGATCGTCATATCTCGACTAGCTGAGTCGATCTAGACATGTGTGCCCGTCCGTCTGTCCATTATAATTTGTAAACACGATACAGGCCACAGTTATGGACCAATCTTCACAAAATGTTGTATGTAGAATAGGTTCTGACCAATGAAGACCCCTATTGTTTTTGGTAAAGATCGGTTAATATGTAGGGGATGAAATGGACCAAATACTAAATTTCTGTCTGATTTTCTGGTCGCTTTAGAGGCCACAATTATGGTCCAAACATTGTTGCATGGAGAAGGGAAATCGGGCCAAAGAAAAAGCATGCCTGTTTTGATAAAGGTCGGTCAATATTTAGTGGTTCAAACGGACCCTGACTTTTGTGTGAAAAATGACAAAATTTGATAAAGAAGTTGACAATTGAAAGCCCAACATCACAACACGGTCCAGGGAATTTGGACAAGTACAGCTCTCCTCTACTGAATATCGGTCAAAAGGGGGCAAATATCGCGAAATATTGCCCAAGCTCTGAATATAGAACCACAGAAAGTTAGATTTTGTAGGGTAATGTATAGTTAGTGGAAGTTGTGTAGGCTATCATATTTTTGGTTATAATATTTTCAAAATATTTTATGAAGTGTACATTTTCAGGAATATTTTTTGAAGACTCTATATATAGTCCTTAATTTTATGATTTTTGCCGGACTTTAAGAATAGCATTTGAATTTAGCAAGAATACTATATTTTCCCATAAGGATATTTTTTTCGGTGTACATTTTAAGAATATTTTTCGAAGCTTAGGTATTCCAGAATATTTTTTTCGGTGTAGATTTTTATGAATATTTGTTTCGAGGCGTTGACTTTCAGGAATAATTTAGAGGCGTAGATTTGAAAAAAAATTTTTTTTCATTTTCTGGCATCATATTTTTCAAGGCGTATATTTTAAAATTCATCGAGGCCTTTCAGTATAGATTTTTATATTTTTTCGTAGATTGTTTCTAAATATTTTTCAAGGTAGCAATGATTTTTTAAGCATCAGAAGTGTAGTGGTGTTAGAAGGATCTCAAGTGCGTAGATTTCAAGATTTTTTTTCAAGGAGCAAAGCAGAGTTTTTAAGATCATTGTTAAGAACCACAATATCGATTTTTTTTAAATTGACTTCGCAAATGACAAACAAGCAATATCGTAAAGTTGGAGTACTCAAACTTTGATTGAAAGAGAATTTTTTCTAGGATTAACAGGTAATACTTCTTTTATTTAGCCTGGACATTTTTCAAAGGACTAGCAGAGTGTCAATTAAATCATAAAAGAATCGTCAGGAATTTATAAGAAAATACCTTCAATAGAATGAATATCTTCTAGACATATTCTGTGTCTTTTAAATATCATAAACCAGAGTTTATCCAGCCTCCTCAATTTTTTAAATCTAGACGATTTTTTTGTGACATACAGTAGGGCAATTCAAGAATATTTAAATATAGACGGATTTATGTTCGTAAGCTAAGATATTGAGTAATAGAAAGATCTCCTTGAGTTCCAACATGTATTCAATATTTACAGAATTTTTATTATAAAATAATTTCCATTAAGAAGTTTTGTAATGATTTGTTTTTTTTATCTACTACAGATCCAAAACATTCAAGAACTTCTAAATTAGAAAAACTTCTACAATTTTTGTACACCCAGAGGTCGTTTCCTAATGAAAGAAGAGTTGATAAAGTGATCGTCTTCAAATTTATACGTGTAAATATCGCAGGCCTTGTAAAGGTCAAGGCCTTCTAACGCTTCTACAATTGTTGCCTATTTACCATAGACCTTCCATAGATTAACAAAAAAACTTTCAAGATATCCGGTTAAGTCTTAAGGCCTCTCACAATATTTCTACATCTAGCATTTGTTTTTATAGGTCACGGCATTTCTGTTCAGACTCTTCATCCATTATTTTCAGGTATCGTTCGAACTGGGTGTTTATTGATTGCAGCACTAGCGTGGTAATATATAGGAGTTTTTTATGAATAAATATTTTCAAAACTGAATTATACAGATCAGTCTAGAGAATATCTTAGAACATAGTTTAATTCATTCAGAAGAGGTATTTAAAAGTATATATCTTCAAGAATCGGCTTCTTTTAATATGAAAGTCCTTTAGTCCCCCTAATTTGAAGGATCTCCCATAGAAATCGTTTGAGATTAATATACATCTGAGAGAGAATTTTGAGATTATTCTACCCATTGAAGACTTTTAGAAAACATATGTCCTTGTAGGACTTTTCGGAATTATTCGATGTATCTTATAGATTAAGGATATATACAGAATACACATGGGGGTCACTCATCCATTTCATCTTTTAGATCTTGAAATATGACATATTATTCAAATATTTATTTGTCCCCTTTGTAACACCTCAAAATATTCTTGATCAAAATAAAATTCTATGTCGATTAAGCCAAGTTCGTCCGTCTGTCGAAATCACGATAGTGCTTGCAATATTTAAGATAGAGCTAGAAATGATCAATATCGGCCTACGTATTTGTAAAGGATGTTACCCTACAATATTCGTTTTCTGTTTGTAGACATGCAACATGGTTCTAGTTTAATATGTTTCGTTCACATTTGGGTGGTTCCCACTAAAAATGTCCCCTATCGATCTAGATGCAGACCTCCTCCTCGATACCTCCTTATTTAAGAGATTTTTTTTCAATCGAGTTGGCTCTAATTGGATATTTTGAGTTATCTTTGGATAAAAAATCGTTCTATCACTATATAAAAGTGCCGATCGATTTTAGGTATTTAGAATTTACATCTATAAAGTTTGAGGAATATAAAATATATGGTCGTATGTTATCTATTAACGAGATTTTTTTATTTATTAACAAAATCTAACAAGTGAATGATTTTTATGCTAACCCTTGATCTAATTGGATATTTTAATATTAATTGTTATAAAACTTTTAATAAATTAAAAAAAAAACAATATTTGTGTTTAATAACTATCAAAAAATATTGTAATTTATATTAATATATTTCTATAATCTTTCCACCTTTCTTAACGCACAGCTCGAAGTATATCGGAAGAATTCAGTAGTGGTGATGCTCCACGCTTCAAAGATGAAGAATCGGTGGACAAAAATGAGGCAATGTCTGTTGTGGCGGGCGGCAGTGCAGCTGGCTGCAGCAGTGGTGGTTCATCTTCACATTATCGGCCCGAATCAGCATCGGGTCATAAATCTGATAAATCGGACAAAGAAAAAGAGAAGAAGGAAAGGGAACGTGAAGAGAAGGATATAGGTGAGGAAGGGAGATTTTATAAAATATATTAACTATTAAAATTAAATTAAATATTTTATTTAAAATTTTTAGAAGCAATCAAGGTCTTTGATGGCAACAATTCATTTAGGCGACAGCTATATCGCGTTATAACGGTACCTCGTACATATACCTTGGAACAATTGTTAACAACAGCATTGCGAGCATTTCATATATCACGTGATCCCAGTGTAAGTTTTGTACAGATACATGAAATTTTGGATCTTCTTCAATTAAGTTTCCTTATAGAAGATACCAAATTTTTTTAATTCGATAATTTTATATCTTTTGAATATTTTTTATAATAATTTTCTAATCTTGTTTCTTTATATTTTTTCAGGCATTTTATTTAACCGATTTATATGCTCCCGTCGGCATGGAAGATGCCGCTTTGCAAGATCCAAATCCTGTATTAAGCCTAAATCACATGGAGGGTAAACGACCAGCTATATTTCTTCGGTTTCAAGACAAGGACAATGGTTTTGTTCGCGTTTATCCGGGTAAATTGCAGTGCTCGTTGGAAGAGCCATATGTTAGTGTTCCTGTCGATTCTACGACCACTATTAAGGATTTGATACGTGATGCTCTAGATCGTTTTGGTTTACAAGATAATCCAATCGATGATTACAGGTGGGTGCCGAGTACATTAATTTTAAAATCATATCACATCAATATCCTATTTTTCTGCAGATGTTCCCAAGTATTATTAGATAGTGGTGTTACCGAACGCATTTTATCATGGAACGAACGCCCATGGAATATTATGAAACAAATGGGCAAAGATTCAATACGTCAAATGGAATTGATGCGCTTCTATTTGCAACACCGACAAGATCCCCATGGTCCTAATATTGCCTTGTTTGTGGGCAATTTAGATCCGGGAAAATCTCAAAGGAAATATGAAGATTTCCTAAATAAATATCTAACGGAAGATAGTAAATTTACAAGTATTGGTCCAATCTATTATGAATATGGTTCGGTGGTATTGACCTATGAGGATGCCCAGAAGGCGGTAAGTAAAAGAGAGATGTTTTAAAATTCAAATAAAAATTTTTAACATTTTTCGTATAGGTACGAGCCTTCTATATTTTGCGTGAAGTACGCTGGGATGGCAAAGATTTGTTGGTAATGCTTTTGCCGAACATTGAACCGAGTATGGTGCCACCCGACATAAATCCACTGCTAGTCTTTGTAAATGTTAAGTCAGGCGGTTGCCAAGGTCTAGAGTTAATATCGAACTTTAGAAAATTGCTGAATCCATTTCAAGTATTTAATTTGGAAAATGGTGGACCGTTACCGGGGTGAGTACTGACTTTTTTCGAAAATATTGTCTCAGATGGGTAGGAGGCATTTAGTGGAGTTTCTGCAGAGGGAAGCACTTGGGTTTTCACTCCGAGTATGAGTAATAAAACAAAATTGGTCGATGTGTATCGGAAGAATTCGGCAAAGTAAAAGCTCCACCCTTCAAAGTGATGAATCGGTGAATTAAAATATGGCAATGCCGGTTCTTGTTGTTGTAACAGTTTGGCTGTCACGTTTTCCCTGAAATGATTCAATGATGTTAGCTTTTTATTTGAAAATGTGTCTACTGGTGATCCTGAACCACTATATGGTAGTTGGGATGCGTGGGCAGCTACAGATAATCCACACTCGTCATCTGGACCCATCCGGTTGCTGTACGTAGGGCATTATTCTGTGTGGTTTGAAGCAATCTCTATTGCGAATCGCTGATGAACGAAGTCCAAACTGGCTTAGGAGCACCTCCTTGTACTTGCCCCATGTGGTACCCGAGATGGCTTTGGGCACCTTGATTCGCTTTTGGACTTTTATTTTCAGCGCTGCGGCGTGCCTGGAGAATGTCAGGAGGCTATCGAAGGTGACACTTAGTATTCTAGTATTCTGGACCGTTAGAATTGCCCTGCCACAGAGCGATATGTTTAGTTGCCGCTGTACCTCCTTAGTCCACGATGTGAATATAGTGGCAGTTGATTTAGATGGGGAAATCTGCATGTTTCTACACTGAAAAAATGTGGCTACCGACGATAGGTGGGTGTTGATTTTGTCCTCGATCTCCAATACATCTACTCCAGAGGCAAAGATTGAACAGTCGTCAGCATACATTACGTTTAATACCATCTAGGGGGGAGGGGAATTTAGAAATGTTGAAGTTGAATAGCGAGATGACACATCCTTGACACATATTTTGCGGCTTTTCGACTTCTGTCCCCTGAACTCAACATATGCCTGCCTATATAGTTATATATGGGAAATTACAAAAATCTTTTAAATTCCTTGAAGTTGAGGTTTGCAAGGTTATAACTCGCGAAATATGAACATATTGCATATAATTTAAATTCAATTCTATAAAATGAAGTGTTCTTGTCAAAATCTTGAAATATTGGTAATAAATAATAAGTTGCGTGGAAGCTGTGATGGTGGTAATGTAAAAAAATGGGTGAAAATGTGTTGAAGCCAACGAGTTTTTTTGTGTTCGTTCCCGATTTGTGGCTAAACTACACAACGCACACACATGTGATCAGTGACTAAGTTGCAGAATACCCCATGGACAATATGGTTCTAATGTATGATTTTTCGATATAATCACTGCATCCACCCAAAATGGATGCTGACATTTTGAAGCCGGATTTTCGGTGTTTTTTGAATTTTTCTTATAATTAGGATGCGCATCCAGACAATAGAATAAACTAATTATAGGATCGTAGAACTCGTGATTCTGCTTCGTTTAGTGTATATCTCATGAATGTGCTCACTGTAGCTTCTTTGCAATTGGGTTCCAAAGACGAAAATTTAGTGCGTAAATTTTTATAAAAAACATATTTTTTGAGTCTAAAATTAAGAAAGTCCATTCAAATTCCGTGGAACCCCGCGTGATTTTAGTTTTTTTACGTGCCGGATCTAATGAGCCCATCCATGTTCAATTCCGCCCATTAAAACGGCGGATATAGGTACCTTGAATGTGGGAAAAACTGCAAAAACTTATTTTGACAAATTCGCGTAAATAATCGCGGTTTTCTTCGGATTAATTTTACATGCATTTATGCTTGTATTGTCAAATTCGCGAATCTGCGTGGAAATAGGTCAAAAATACATCGATACGCGAATAATATGCGTATTTTATCCAAAATTGATTGTGGAGGCACATCCGCGGTTCTTAACCGATCCTTTTAAAATAGGTGTCCTTTTGCGTATTTTCATAGGAGATTACTAAAATCGGATGCGCATAAAAATCGTATGCACGTTGCGTATTTTTAAGCCATTTTTAGGGTTTTTGCATAGTAAAGTGCATCGAGTGGCACACTTTGACCGCTAAATTAAACATTGAAAAATTAATAATTATTGAAAGACATTGATTCGGTTTATACGAAAATCGCATGCGCATCAACTGATTTCAATTAATTCGCGAATTGCAAGCTTTTCAATATTGATCATTTTTATGTATTGTAAATGCAATATATTTAGCCATTAATGACGTCGAAACTCTTATCAGATGAATCTGCCGATATTTAACAATCATCTAAAAGAATTTGCAGAAGAAAGCGTCGTATATTTTAGAAGATTAAGGCAAAACCGTATCCTCTTAACCATAGTAAAAAAATCGAAAATTCAAAAAAAAAAAAAAATAGTTTTAATTCAAAAATTAATTTATTTTATTTTCCGATATCTTCATGTTTCTATTTGTTTGTCGCGACTATTAAACCGTATTTCAGTGTGATTTGACTAGTATGCAAAGAAAACAATGGTGTTTAAGCATTTGTGAAGAAATTCGCGAATTACAACGAATAGGAATCCATTTAATATATATTTGAAATACAAGATTTAAAACCGCTATAACTTTTGTGCGCAACATCCGAATTTGTGAACGCGAACAGATTTCGAATCAGCATATTTTTCTTAACCTATGTACCAAAAATCATAAATGTGCTCGCAAAAAAAATTTTCAAAAATTTTTTAATGGAATTTTAAAAGAATTTTGTAATTTCCCATATATAGTTAGTTAGTGCAAGATGTCATTAATCAACTGTATCGAACGCCTTGGACAGATCCAATGCCACAAGAATTGTCCGCTCGGCAGGTCTTGTCTTGTTGAGGCCATTGGCAATGTGATTAACGGCATCTGTGAAAGCTGTGGTGGTACTATGTGATTTCCTGAAGCCATATTGATGTTGTTCCAGCGTTAGGTTTTCCGTCATGGATGGCAGCAGGAGGGACTCCAAAACCTTCGCTAGTGGTGACAGAAGGGAGATAGGTTGATATGAATCTCCCCGACTAGCAGATTTGTGTCCTAAATATCACTTTGCTTCTGGGCCGATATGCTTGAGCATGACCATCGAGATGCCGTCAGGTCCTAAGACTTTAGATGGTTTAGCCTTTTGAATGTTGGCTTCTGGGCCGATATGCTTGAGCATGACCATTGAAATGCCGTCAGGCCCAAAGCTTTAGATGGTTTAGCCTTTTGAATGTTGGCGCTAATGTCCTCTGGCGTGAATTGTCGGAGAACTTCCTTTTGCATGTTTTTCGGTCTCCTGTGGATTGCTCTTTTGCGCTTATTCTGCTCTGTTAGATGTTCGACGCATTGCTGGCAGAATTTAGGCGCGCATCTTTAGGCATCCGATACAACGGTACCATCGAAACTTACAACTACATTTCCGTCATTTGTTTTGCCTCACGTGAGACTCTCTGCGATGCTGGTTTACAAGATTATTTATCTGTACCGTCAGATCTGGAATTATTGGGTCATCTAGTGACGTCTGGTGCTGAAGATTGTTGTTGTGGGCGGTAGCACATTTAACTTCAAAGATGGCGATTCATCATCACTTTATCGACCCGGATAAGCATCGGTTCATAAATGTCTCTTTTTCGTCTATTAATAGAAGAATTGTTTTGAGATCTATTTGCAAATATTCATAGATGGAATTCCACCAAGAGATTTCATAGTTGCAGAACTTCTTCCTGATGAGACATTTATATATGAATTATATACTCTGGAATACTAAATATATTTTCTTTGTATCTTTATTCTTACATTTTCAGATTATACGTTTTCCGTCACATACCGCATTATAAGATCTTGGTTTGTGGCGGTGATGGTACCGTTGGTTGGGTTCTACAATGTCTAGATAATGTGGGACAAGATTCGGAATGTTCAAGTCCACCTTGTGCCATTCTACCGCTTGGAACTGGTAAGTTAACGATCTCTTTAAAAAAAATTAGAATATTGAATTCAAATTAATTTTTTTTCAAAATCTAGGCAACGATTTGGCCCGTGTCCTCTGTTGGGGTTCCGGCTATACAGGCGATCAAGATCCCCTTAGCTATTTGCGTGAGGTAATCGAAGCTGAAGATATACGCTTAGATCGTTGGACTGTTGTCTTTCATCCGGAAGAGAAACCCGAGGAACAAATATTAAAGGTTCCCACGAACACAACCGGTAAGAAGAAGAAGGCTCATCAAGCACATCTATCGCAACAAACAGATCAGCATCATCAAGAACCGGCCATTACATCGAGTGAAAAATCAGGTCTTTTGATTACACAAAATTTTTCTTTGTCTCTCTCTCTCTATATATATATTCGTATATATACTCTCTATATATATCTTTCTATGTTTTGTCTACTCTACATTATTCTTTCAAAATCGGAAAAAAAAACAAAACAAATATTAGAAAAAAATGTGTACGAATTAAAAAAACAACTCAATATTTTTGTTAAATATTTAATTTTGTATTAATATCTACAAAAATTCAGATACAAAATCGTACATATTTTTTTGAAATAACTACTATATAATTTTTTTATACAATACCTTTTTGTATATGGATTTTGATTTGAATTCAATGTGATTTGAAAGAAATTTAATTTTGTGTTTTAACACACGAAAAGTGATGTGTTTGTGTGTGTGGGCGCCATATTAAACACTAATGACCTTGATATGCCGTCCTCTCTGAACAGAGACTGATAAATGTTGTAATTGAAATTCTAATTAAAAAATTAAATGAAAGCCTTGCTATATGTCAATTGCCGTGAGAGAGGAGGAGATATATCACACATTGTAAATAGAATTATTGAATAAAGTGAAGCATTCTTCATGTGATGATGATGTGATATTATTTGCATTATAACCTCCCCTCTCCCTCTCCATATTTTTCTTTTTAACATTCTGTATAATTATTTCTTGTTGTTGTTGTAAATGACATAAATGTTTTGTGTAAACTAAACCAATGAATGAAACAAACTCAAAAATTTAAAAAGAAGAGAAAATACAAAAAATCTATGACAAGTAATTGGTCAAAGAAGATGATAAAAATCAAAAACAAAATTTAATGGATGAACAATGCTGTGCTAGTTTTGATGTGATCATAGATGTTTTGCTTTCCAATAATAATTGTATATTATTATTTTTTATTTTTAACATAATATTTTAAACATATTGCATGCCTAATTTTTAATTTTTATTTTACATAATTTCTTTCATACATACATATGTGAATTTATTGCATACGTGTGCATTTTATTGTTGCAATGTCGAGTGTATATTAAATTTGTCATTACATATTCAACAGTGAGACCCCATAAAGTATTAAACAGTAACGAGGCATAAAAATGTAACGCTTTGGTCATATTATTTCAATTATAAGTTTTCAAACTAATCATAGTAATTTGTTATTTTAAATTTTCAGTGGGTAGAAAATTTCCCAGCTAAAATTTATCAATAACGGACCTAGTTTCGACTATATTGCTTAGCTCACTGGTTTTCAGTTGTTAACCCAATTTTCAAACCTGAGAGTCTTTTTGTGTTGCATTCCGTTTTCCGCTGGCCACAACTTTCCATGGAGTAGCGCCCATATAAAAGTTCCGATCGATTTAGGTATTTTGAATGTCCACCTTATGGTGGGATGTTATTTTTTATAACATTTAATGGCATCAATAAATAAATTATATAATTATAGAAATTCCAGATTTCCACAAGTTTTCTGCGCTCAGAACGAGGTTTTTATATTTTCTATGAACTCTCTGTAGACAGACTGTCTTCTGCAATGTCTGCTTACTTAGCTGGCTTGTGTCAAAACATTTGTTCCATAACCCGAGCTTATAAACGATTTTCAGGCGCGTCGGTCTTGTGCTCAGGTCTTTAAATTTGACAGGCCATGTTCCGAAATGTTTGTCGTCCAATTGATCTTCGCTCGCTCGCTTTTATATGCATTTTGATCTGGAGCATCCATTCTCACAAAATGACCTGTAGTCGCTGCAGCTCGATATGTCTGATGATACAACTCATGGTTCATTCGACGGCGATATTTACCGTTGACGCAGATCGGCCCATAGATCTTTCGGAGAATTTTTCTCTTAAACACTTCAAGAGCTGCCTTATCTGCTTGCGCAAGTACCCATGCTTCAGATCCATACAACAGCACGGGTAAAATCTGCGTCTTGTAGAGTGTGAGTTTAGTCTGGCGTGAGGTAGCATTGTTTCTTAACTACTTACTTAGACCATAGTAGCATATGTTGGCCAACACTATTCTTCTTCGGATTTCAAACCTTTTTTATTTATTAGTTGTTTTTACGGCGGTACCGAGGTATATAAAATCGTTCACTACCTCGAAGCTGTTGCTTTCAAGTTCCACAGTTTATCCGAGTCTACTGCGTTTTGTGCATTGATACCATAAGCTTGGTCATCTCGCCATTAACTGACAGTCCCACTTTGGCCGACTCCTTCTCAATTCGTTCAAAGGTGGCTGTTACCGCTAGCAATGTCCGACCCATTATGTCAACGACGTCGGCTAGTAACATATGCTGTTTGGTGTACATAGTACCATTTTTGTTCACATTTGCGGCTCGTATGACCTTCTCCAGCAGGATTTTACACAGGTCACATGACAAATTGTGACCTTGTCTGAACCCTCGTTCAGCATTGAATGGCACCGAGAGGATTTTTCCGATTTTAACTACCTTGCTCCAGTTAAAATTTTCCTGCATAGCCGTATTTATTTTGCAGGAATGCCAAACGCAGATATGGCTTTAAACACCTCTGAGCGGATTGGGCTATCGAATGCGGCTTTATAGTCGACGGTGAGAATGGGTCGATGTGTTTTTCTAGACCTTTTGATGGATTTACCAGGTCTGAAGCCGCATTGGTATGGTCCAATACCACCATAGACCATTAGCATTAGCTGTATCTGTCACAAGGTTTCCTTCGTCATTTCTACAGATGGATGTGCCTGCACCAAAGCCTTCGGTTTGGTGTTTTACTCGTTGGTTAACTTTCTGAAATTCATTCTGCCTCCTGTACATCTCGATTTGTTCACGCTTACGTTTTTCTTATTCTGAAAGTAAATTTCTCCTCTCCCCTTTTCTACCTATAATTCTCTCTCGCATTATGTGCTGCTACTGTCTGCAGGGTTGCCCTATACGCCGCGTTTTTCAACGCAGTAGCATTACGAAACTCATGATCCTACCACGGGTTTCTTTATGGTGGTTTTTGGTACCCAAGTGTTTCTTCTGCTGCAGTTTGTAGGGAGTGGGCAATTTTTTGTCATTGTGCTTCTATATTATTATCGGGACAATAATCGATATTCGCTCCTCGGGACGATCGAACGTCTGAAACACTCGATGAATGCCCTCCGTCTATCACTACATGATCAATTTGGTTCCTCGTTGCTTGATCGGGAGAAATCCAGGAGGCCTTGTGTATAACGAGATGCTTTAATCTGGTGTTGCTAACTACCATGTATTTTGCTGCCTCGAAGTCAATCATGGAGGTTGAATTTTCCAACGGTGGCACCAAAAATATTTTCCCTTCCGACTTGTCATTGAAATCTCCTATCAGAATTTTAATGTCATGAGCAGGACAGTCTGGGCTTTGTCATGTTAAAGCCAATCAGAGTCATTGCTTGGTATCTATCATCCCATACATCACCCTCTGCTATGTCTACCCTATATATTTCTGACCTAATCCCCAGCATGAGTTTTTCATGCACTCTTACATGTTGACGATGTAATTCGAAAAATATTTATAAATCAAGGTGATTCTAAATATCATTTTCCTATATATCTAGAAAACCACCCAGAGTTCTGGAAATAAAATTAATTGAATAGGCTTTTGTATAAGATAGATGACTTGTATAAATTTCATTATAGTTAAATTGATTTTAAATTTAATCATAAGAAGAAGATTATAAATACTACGATGCCGTCAAGTATGCAATTATTCATATGTATGTCTGAACATATTATTACTATTATTATTTGTGATATGCATGCAAATAGTTTATTTATAATAACACATAATACAATTATATAAACCAACAAATATTATGGACCAGTCTAAGCTAATGTTAACTGAAAACAGTTTTCAAAAAAACTGATAAAATTCCAAAAAATATTATCTGTTTAGAAATGTCCCTTTTGGGGTTACCAATTTTAGGTATTCTGAAGTCCAATTTAGTCGAAGTTTATGCTTCTGACTTTAGAAATAATGAGCTTTAGAATGGATTGTGTAAATATTTGTATTATTTCTATAACATGTTCTAAACTTCAATACCAAAAGCTTTCTTTATATTAAAGTTGGCAGTTCAATGTTACACATATGCCTTGATCCTTATATACTTGAAAAACCCTCATTATCTTAATCAATCTCTACCTCTATTGATTCATCAAACCGTATGTTTTTTTTATAACATATGCAAAATTTTTTATAATTATATTTCCCTGCAAAATTTGCAGGATTTTTAAAGCTACCTCCCTATTAAAACCCTACATTTAATAATGGCCACCAGAACAAAGACCAAGCTTCTTGATACATTTATTAACGAAGTTTTCGAACGTATATAGTACGAAAGTCTAAATCCACTTTCGCAAGTGATTCCTGTACCAAATTTCACTATATGTATTTATTGTACTAAATTTAGTATAATTTATATAATTACATTAACACATATATAGTTAATGATTAGGTTATGTTAGCTTGAAAAGAGGGTTGGATGATATCACCACATGTCCCAAATGAGAAGGACATACACATAAGCCAATTGAGGCCTGTTGTGCGCTCTAGAAATGCGGAGAAAGTTAGAATTATTGAAAGTTTAGATTAAAAAAACATTTGGGTTTGATTCCTCTATAAATTTAGGAATTCCCTGTTTTTGTGAACACCTTCAGTCTTCTTCATTCACACTCCCTCAAATCGGTTATTCCGTGAAGAGTATCATTTCCCAAGAATTGTTTCTGAAGGCATGTAAATGCTGACAGCGATGCAGACAGCGTTTCACTGTCTTCCCCATACGCTCTGCACATGCTGCTACCTTGAGTAGATGTGCCTTCTGGCTGAGGTGTCCCGTCAGAATATCCGTTAGTCGGCTTATTTCTTTTTTGAGTTTTGTTTTTATGCCTTTTTAGGGCGAAGATCATTCATGAAAATGTTTTTATTAATTTCTCTTTCGAGATTAGCTACATGATCGGAGTTGCAATGAAAAGGAAAGCCAGAGAGATACTACATTCCCACCACTATGCGACGCGTTTCGCCGTTGGTTAAGCGGCTTATCAAGCATATTGGGAAATGTGGCTTACAAATGTCTTTACTTGATAAGTTGTATTTATATCGACTATTGCTGCGAAATTGCATCTACGAATTAAATTCAACCGTGTCAAGGTTCCGACATTTGGCATCACACCAGAACATTCCTTTTCAGAGCAGATTTTTCTTGTAGTGACGGACTTTTTTTCCATCAGACTACAATATTTTTTCTTCAATGATATGCAACTGCATATTGTGCAACCTTAGGATGATAAGGAGGTGGCTTTGAACGCTAAGGCGCGTTAAGATTTGCTTAGTTTTGTCTTCACTGGGTTTACCCCATAAGATTTTGGTGATGAGGAGACAGGAAAGGGATTGGTGGTATTCACATCTATTGTGGGTAGTGCAGTAGTACTCCTGGCTAGTTGATTTGTTATTTCGTTGCCTATGATTCCTTGGTGACCCGGTACCCATATAATTCGTACAGGTCCTTGTGGTGAGAAATCATTAATGGTACATTCCAGTACAGTTTTGGATTTAACTGTTTTGGAATATATTGCTATTATAGCTTAACCTTACATCTATTCTACATACCAAGAGAAATTCATTTATACAAAATGACAAGATTAAAGAGCATTTAGTATATTTTAGAACTTTTCCTACGAGAGTTATACGGATTTCTAAAAACATCCAATACTGTTTAGTACTTTTAGTATTATTACGTGTACATTTTATTATACTACTCGTTTCTATAATGGAAACACATATGTGGTCCTTCCGAGTAAAAGGGTATACAAAATTTGGGATTCCCGGGCAACTTATCGGAACCCAACAACTACCCAACCTCTCATACCTGATTCGAAGTATTTGAAGAGAGAACCAACACCACCCTCAATAAGTCCATAATATCTGTTAAATCTCCATTACAGTTTGTATAAATACACTTTGTCATATACTTTACTTTTCTTATATTTTAACACTTTTTGTTTTTCTGTAACATATCTTTATTTCTTTCACTAAAAATCTATTTGAAAAAGAAAAATCAATTTATTTAATTGTAAATGTTATTTCCTCTTTTAACAAAATTATTACAGGCGCCGGCGATGATGAATGTGAGGGTACCAAAAACGAAGACAATACCCAAATCTTTGTCATGAACAATTACTTCGGCATCGGCCTGGATGCCGATCTCTGTCTGGACTTTCACAATGCCCGTATGGAGAATCCCTTCAAATTTAATTCACGTCTACACAATAAGGGCGTCTACGTTAAGATGGGTCTACGCAAAATGATGGGCGGACGCAAATGTACAAAGGATTTGCAAAAGGAATTGCATTTGGAGGTTGATGGCAAGGTCGTGGAATTGCCACCATGTGAGGGTATTATTATATTGAATATATTAAGGTGGGTCGATAAAACAATTTTCAAATTTTTTGAATTAAAAAAAAAAATAATATTTTAAATTTGCATTGCAGTTGGGGCAGTGGTGCCAATCCCTGGGGTCCCGATAAGGATGATCGTTTCTCAACACCAAATCACTATGATGGCCTATTGGAAATTGTTGGCGTCACGGGTGTTGTGCATTTGGGACAAATTCAGTCGGGTATACGCTATGCAAATCGCATTGCCCAGGTGAGTAAAGGATATTGGATTTACAAATTTTGATTCCTGTAGGGAAGGTTTAAAAAATATACTAGTAAGGAAAGAAGTAAAGTCGGACGGGGCCGACTATATGATACCATTCACCACTTTGGGGATATTCAATAGATGAATCCTAACAGATGGATCCATAAACATGTCATTCTGCAAGATATACTAAATTTTTTCATTTGTTCAGATATAGAGTTGCTTCTTACAATGGGACAAAATTATTGGTCTGTTCCCGTACTGCAATAATCTACTAGATTTTACTATTTTCTTCGATATCATAAAGGAAAAAAGTGTTATCGGAGTAAAAAATAGTAGATTCTTGTAGTACGGGAACAGACCATATGTAAATCAATTTAAATCAAATATCAATCGGACACCCGTTGATTATTTGGATAAATATCTGATAAACATGAGGAGTTTGGTATACCATTTACATTAAATCGGACGATAATATATATGGGAACCGACTTACAGGAAACTTCAGATACATCATTCTAGACCTAATTCATTAGGCTATGCAAAATTTCGTGCAAAAGGAAATATATAGATTGACTTTGGTGCACCATTTACATAAAATCGGACAAAACTATATATGGGAGCTATATATAAGTCTGAACCGATTTTTAGGAAACATAGCACAGGTTATTCTAGACCTAATTCATTACGCTATGTCAAATTTCGTACCAATCGAAAGATATAAAGGGCCTTTGGTGCACCATTTACATAAAATCGGACAAAACTATATATGGGAGCTATATCTAAATCTGAATCGATTTTCAGGAAACTTAACACACATCATTCCAGACCTAATTCATTACGCTGTGCCAAATTTCGTGCAAATCGATAGATATATACAGCCTTTGGTGTACCATTTACATAAAATCGGACAAAACTATATATGGAAGCTATATCTAAATCTGAATCGATTTTCAGTAAACTTATCACACATCATACTGGTCCTTATTCACAACTTAATGCCAAATTTCACCCAAATCGGATCATAAATGCGACCTGTACTTTGTTAACAAAAATACATGGACGGACGGACAGACGAACATGCGTAAATCGACTCAGAAAGTGATTCTATGCATATTCTCATAAGGAACCACGGGTCTATCTCTATTTCTTTTGCCTGTTACAAACATATGCACAAAGACATAATACCCATAATACCCACAGTGTGGTGACTTCGGGCTTGCTAAAAGTAGTACGATGTGATAAGTAGGTCATAACTGAGGTCTAATAAAAGAATTACGATGTGCAAAGCTTGTTCTCAATTCAATTGATATAGGATTTACAAATTTTCATAATGTTGACACTTTGTGGGTCAGAAGGAGTGGACTGATGGATTGCATCCTCATTTTGTGGAGGATATTTCCCAACTTCTAACTAAATCTACGTGTGGATGAGATCGGTTATACTCTTCGAAAGTGATCGTGCGCACCAGCCAGCTAGACAGATGGGCGGAAGGACCTTTGTAAATCGACTCCAAATTGTCTGAAATGGATTTGGTCCAGAGAAACTTGGAATCTAAAACCAAAAATTGATGAGACATTTTTTTTATAATAACAAAGAATATACACCCTCAGAACTCATAAGGCTGGAGCTATAAAAAGTTCGGACTGGCCGAACGACATGTTTACTCAGAATGTTTAAATATTTCATCTTATTTTAAATAAATGTTTTTCTTTTTTTCCTTCTTAGGGTGGCCACATAAAAATGCATTTATATTCAGATTTACCCGTGCAAGTTGATGGTGAACCATGGGTACAATGTTCCGGTGATATTGTGGTTTTAAAATCTGCTCTAAGGGTAAGTGTTCACTACAATTTTCAATTAAAGCTGTTACCTTTTTCGAGAAAAAATATAGTTTACTTAACTCGAACTCCTTTTCAATTTCAAATTTTATTTTGAGTTTATATTTCTGCATGTTTCTTTGCGAAAGCATGTTGTTTTTGCCCCCAAAAATCAAGAAGCAAAGTACAAATAAATTTATTAGATTGGAGCCTTTTTTAAGTAGACTTTTTTAAGCTTTGTTATTATTATTTTTGTTACTAAGTTTATTTTGTTAAAGCCGTCAACAAATTGTTAAATATTTTAGTTCACTTATTAGTTATAACACTTTGCCTTTTAAAGCCGACAATTTTATTTTGGTTACATTGCTTTTCGTTTGAAATACTTTGTATTTATTTAGTTTTTATTTAATTATTTATAATTAGTTCGTTCCTCTTTTTTGTTTATTAATCATACAAAAAGTGAAAACATAAACATTTTCAAAATAAACAAATCAAATCTATTCGCAAATACAATGAAAAACTTCAGTATCAACAAAAACAATATTAAACAAAATGCCAAATCAAAAATAATCAAAACTATATATGCAAATACATTGATGTATAATTGATGTATGTGTTTTTTTAATTGCCAAGATGTAATTTAATGTTATATATTTTGATATTTACCCCTTTTGAATTGAAAACAAAAAAAGAAAAACAAACAAAAAATTTGAATCAAAATCAAACGAATTTAACTAGACACTATGCTGCACTCTCAGGTCAATAAATATGGAATTTTTAAGAAAAATTTTCAAAGACTTTAAGATCTTATTTTTTTTTATAGATGCTGTATTAAGCGTGAATTTTTATGAATAAAGTTTTCCAAGACTATTAGACCTTCAGGAGTTTATTTAAAAAAAATCTTTAATAAGAATGTATTTGTTAAGAATATTTAAACAACTATCACAACAATAAATTTGGATTATTTAAGAATATTTTTAAGGGCAATATGAGATGTAATCCTGGATCTTTTAAATAATGTTTTCTGAAGAACCATTAGACCAATAATTGGATTTTTATACCATACACAACTTTGTTATAAGGGTATTATAACTTTGCGCAGTCCTAGACCCACCTTTTAGTATACCGATCACACATGTCATATATTGACAAGCTCAGTTGACCTAAACATGTGTATCCGTCTATCCATAATAATTTTTAAACACGTTAAAGGTCACAGTTATGGACAAATCGTCACGAAATTTTGCATATAGGACGGGTTCTGGCCAAAAAAGGCCCCTATAGTTTTTGGTAATCATATTAATATTTTATTTAGGGAATGAAATGACCAAAAACTTTATTTTTGCTTGTTTTTACAATTATGACCCGAACACCGCGAAATTTTACTTGAATGTGGTCAAGGAATAAGCAAGACTGTTTTGATGAAGATCGTTCAATATTTGATGGGTCAAATAGATTCAGACTTTTGTGTGAAAAATGACTAAAGTTTTATTCTATGGCGTATATATTTATTCCTGAAGGACATATACTTGAGATGTTGATAATATATCTATGAAGATTGGTTGGTACCAATTATATTGATGTATGTACTCGGATGTGGGAGCCGTACCTAAACATTTATAGGTGTATTTTGGTTACGATATTCTTTAGTATTAGCGTTACACAAATGGAAACGATGCACGGATCTTTTTGAAATTTTGTATGAAGTTCGATTATGGGCAGTGTCGACGCCTATAATATGCGGTGATGATCAGATGATATTTAGGGGATGAAATGGGGTGAAAACAAATTTTTTTGGTTTCCATGGGGTCTTGTCAACTTATTAGAAGAGCTGTTTCGTTAATGATCGGTCAATATTCAGCGGGCCAAATCAACCAAGAAATTTCTGTGTAAAATTAAAAAAATATATATTACATGTTATTGCGTATGCTCAACCCGGGAAAGAAAGATGAGCTGTTGACATTTAATCGGCTCGAAATATAGATCCATAGATATTGGCCTAGCGTTGTCCTAGTGGAACACGACACCTCTCCTGATGGACAATTCTGGCCGTTTCTGGTCAATTGCTATCTTCATATTATAGTTTGGTCATATGGAAGCAACTCATAATAAATAATCCCCTTCCAGTCCCACCAAATGCATAGCAGAACCTTCCTGGCCGTTTGTCCTGGTTTGTCCACCGTTTGAGGTGATTCACCGCTCTTTGGCCACGATCGTTTTCGCACAGGGTTATCATCCGTTTAAGAAATTGGTCAATCTCATTCCGTTTGGCCAAGGCTTCGCAGATGGCAATTCGATCCATCCTATTTTTTATGTTAATTGGTGTGGCACCCAAACACCGATTTTCTTTTTGAATCCAGCTTTGTGTAAATGGTTTAAAACAGTTTGGTGGTCGATTTTTAGCTCCTGGACGATGATACGACTGTTAACATGCCGGTCGATTATTTCTCCGATTTTAACGACATTTTCATAATGGATTTCTATTTCCCCAACCAAATACATAAACCCATATAATTCCGGACCCATATAATAAAGGTCCCTTCCATTTTTAGTATTGTAAACATTTTAGTTGCTTTTCCAAGCGAAAGAACTGTAAATTCCGGGTACCTGAAAGGTGATCATAATTATTCAGAACATTTTCAATATAAGCCAACGTATTCACATTTTAAAAGTTCTAATCAACGTTTTGATGGCCATGTTCCCGCATAGTCCTCATATCGACGCCTCCGAAGAATAGTATGCTAAGTCTGAAAAGTGAGTTTTTCATTAGAAGCTTTCAAAGTATGGAAGTTTCTTAAATCTTACGTACCATGCTACATTTTTGCTTATAACTTTGGTTAAGTACCGTAGTATCTAAAAACGTAAATAACTTTAAAACATGCTAAGTCGACTTAGCATACTATGGTTCGGAGGCGTCGATATGAATGTCCCTTTCCTACTTTCTGTATTTCGAAGATTTTAGGTGCATACTGCAGCTGGATTTAATTTGGCATTCCATGTTCTATACCAACTATTTTCGATGTCAGTCGAAAGGTCCCGCCTTATTTTATTTTTAAGACAATAATTTAATGTTCTTATCGATGTGGCTGTAGTTTGTCATTCAGATTTCTTGGATGGTGAAAAACATACCTGCCGTATTTTGTAGGAAAGAACATCTCAGCATACTGGCACATGTACACAAAATTGGGTGCGTGTAAACCAACATGCGTAGGGACGATATAACGTTTTTTTATAACGAGCACAGTTCCCAGTTCCGGGGTTTGAAGACGGTGGCAACCTTTACAAAAAATGTTAGGCTCGTCAAAGAAAAAAGCAGCAGCTTAAACAAGCATGGGGTACCCCCATTATTCGGTATTTTGGGAAGTTTGAGGATACGTTTGTCAAAGAAATTGACTTTAGATTTATGTTTTTGGTGTCAAATCTTCCTACCAAAAATTATTGACATCCGTCCCCGTTAGGGTGTTGCCCACATATAATGATACACCAACTATTGGATATTATCAGGATTTTAGAAATCATTTTCTAAAGTCATGTGTCTTTTCCTGCCCAACTTGAGTGTATATAGTTTTGTATTACGATTTCTCCTGGAAGTCCCAATCGATTTTAGATAGATAAAATTGGCTCTTTCACCAAATCTTTTGGTATGTCAATGAAAAGAAAGGATTCAGAATTTGTTTTTTGCAATTATGGTAATATTATTAGGTGTACAGGTTATAATTTTCACTTTCTAAAAATAACAAACATTGTACCTACAGTAATATTGTGTCTAGTTATATTCTATGATTATTTTTCTAAAAAAACATCCCTAAAGTTAATAAAAATAATTAGATATTCTTACAGAACATTTGTATTACAGAATGCAATTACATACATATTTTAATGAGGTGTTATACGTTTTAATTGTAATTCAAAATTATATTGTCGTGATTGAATTAGGTACAGAGCACTATTTCACTATTATTCCCCCTCCAAACAAAACGAAAGAAAATTTCTGTTTGAAACAAAACAAAAAATAAATAATTTCTCAGGCTAATTCAATAAATATAAATATAATTCTTCATCATACAAATCTAGGCTTGGATGTTACGCAAAGTTAAGAGTAAACGGCGTCTAACCGAGCCGCATATTTCACCGGCTGTGCTCAGTTTGTCGTCGACAGCTGCAGCTACATCATCGTCACAAACGGCATTGCAAATTGTGGCTCAGGTTACGGGTCAGCAGCCACAACAATTTTCGGAAATGACCAATTCGGCAGCTGCTCTGGCCATAACAGGAAATACCAATGAAAAGGAAAATAAAGACAAGGATAAGGAACAGCAGCAGCAGGAGCAACAAAAACAACAAGCACAACAACAGCAGCAGCAACAGTCACAACAACAACAGACACCCAATAGCAATACATAGAGGTCACGTCCGTCCGGTCTAAGTTTTCTTTTCTCGTGTTTTTTATAAAAAATATTCAAAAAATCCCAGAAATTAGCAAAAGAAGAAGGAATTTGTCCAAGAGAAAATAAAATAATATATAAATAACTATAATTCAAATTAATAATCTTGATCTTACATTAAAGTTACAAACAAAACAACAACAAACCTAACCAACAACAACAAGTAAACACCAATAAAAGTCTTTAAATAAAAATAATTAACCACAAAGCAAGGAAATTTGAAAAAAAAAAATCCAAATTGCAAAACAACAATATACTGTAAAAAATGAAAAAATCCCATTTTTGAAATAATAAAAATTAAGCATTTATTAATGTTTAAACAACAAAGCCAATTAATTTAAAATTGTTAGTTGGAATGTAAATGAAAGTGTGTTTTCTGAAAAAAAGTAATCTACATGAAATTGCATAGAAAAAATAATAATGTTAGTCAAAATAACGTGACTATATAAGAAATTTTTAATATTAATTATTTTTTTCAATTCGAAATTCGTTTTGAAATTAGATAAAAAAATAATTCACCACCCAAAACTCCCACCATTTTTTGTTTATATTTTTTTCTCTTCATTTATTTAATTTAAATTAATTTTTTATTATTATATATTTTATTTTGCTATATTCAAGTAATTTAGTATTAGCAACGTTTAATTTATATCATATGGTTTCTACAATTATTTAAACAAAATTAACAATAATTACTAATTAATTTTTAAAAACCAATAAATTATAGTCATATTTCAAATTCGCCTTTTCTACTTGTCTAAGATCTTGTTTCATAATTTTTATGAAATTCCAAATGCTCTGTATGTCAGTTGTTTTTTTTTTTCTTAAAAGCCTTATTATATATCCGTTTTTGGACCTTTTCATAAATATATTCATTCCCAAGCGGTCAGGAATGTAAAAAACAACTTTTTAAAACTGATGAAATGTGAAGAATGATCAGATTAACTTAAAATAAATTCGGTCCGACATTTACAACTTGTAACATATAAAATCTCTAAAAGAAATCATTGTAAACTTTTAGGTATTCTTAGGTACAATCCTAGAAAAAAATACATTCATTAAAATTCGCTAGGTCATTAATTTCTTTCCATAGCTCCTTTTAATTCAATATTTCAATGTTACACTCCATGATTGGAAAAATCTAGATGGACGATTAGAATCAAATGAACAAGGTGAACAAAAAAGTTGGACCTAGTTCCAATGTATCCTGGTTCGGAATAGTTCCTTTGAACTATTTCATTCCGAAACGGAATGCTACTGAATTTTAGAGCTATGTCGTTTCGGAACAAAGTAGTTCAAAGGAAATATTTCGATCCAGGATACATTCGAATTAGGTTTGACTTTATGTTCACCTTGTTCCTTTGGGGTTTTTTTTCCGAAATATATTATTTAAATTTCAAATTCAGCTTATTCCCATCGATCAAAATTCAACAGGGAAATAGAGATTTTATTTTTATTCATGACCCAACTGCATCTCTTTCTAAAGTTGAGCAATCTATTTCACTAGTTTTATGAAACTATTTCGCAGAAGGAAACACCGGAACTAGATCCCATTCTTTCGTTCATTTAGTTTCTTTAGATGTAGTCCTGCTTTCAAATCCTTTTGATTCAACTTTTCATATAGATCTTCTCGTTAATGTTTGACAGAACGATTGAACTAAATGGGACTATGAGATATTCACAGTTCCATAGTTCTCTATAGTTCACATAGTGAAGCGTATCGATCTTTCTCGTTTCTTTTCTTGAAAGAAAGTCGCAAATAGAAAGACCGGAACTAGGTTCGATTCTTTCGTTTATTTGGTTCCATTTGATTTAGTTATTCCTGTTTACTTTCCTTTTGATTCAACTGTTCATATAGATCTTCTCGTTAATGATTGGTAGAACGATTGAACTATATGGAACTATGAGTCATTCAGTTCTTTAGTTCTTTATGGTTCAGGGAGCGTTTCTCGTTTTTTTTTAAGAAACTAGTTCCTTAATATATTTGCTTCGCAGCATATTGTTCCGACTACTGGGTAGATCATTTGGATCTCTTTTATCTTTATTCTTGTTCACATAGGGGCTGTTCCTGTACTGCAAGATTCTACTAGTTTGTATTATGTTTTTCGATATCATAAAGGAAAATTTGTTATCGTAGTTAAAAGTAGTCGGTTCTTGCAATAAACAAAATGATTAATTTCTTTAAGGATGGAACAACCTCTAAATAAGAAACAATAAAGAGCGAAACTCGGTCCTTTAGACCAACAAAGGAACTATGCGAATTTATGAGTTGGAGCTAGAACTAGTTTCGATCGTTCTTTTCTCGGAACAGTGCCAAATGAACTAGTGCGTTCCGGAACGAGTATTTGTAAATCCGTATTGTGTGGTTTAGGTGTTAAATGTCGATTTCAGCTTCAATTACATTATTAAATGTATTATTAAAGGCCCACTTAGCTGTGAGAATTTCGTGTAATTTGTTAGTTTAAACATGTGGATTGTTAGCAGAACCTTAACCAAGCGCCATGTAAAATATTAATTTTCTTTTTGAAGATCGTAGGCGTATTTCCTCTGCCTAGAGTTCGGTAATATATTTCACGGAGGGTATCGATATTCCTTGCATATTTTCTAGAAAAAAATTAGTTCCTTAACAGAGCTTAAGCTAGTTCCGACCTAACTTTTCTCTAAATATTTCCATTGAACTAGTTCAAACTCAGAACACAATTTTGCTAAGCCAATAGCCTTGGTTCACTCGTAAAATTATGTCTTTATTGCGATACGTCTGAAGACGAAATGGTCATGGATTTTCGATTTTGTTTAATCAACAAGTGTAATTCAATGGCTATTCACTGAAACTAACATATGAACTAGGTCTAATTCAATTCGTACATGAATCGGAAAGCGCCTTTAGAATACGAAATCGACTTGATTTCAAAATTCAAATAAATCATATGTATAAATATTGTGGATTTTATTTGACATTTTAAGAGCTGGAAGCGACATTTGATCTATTGGATTTTGCATAATTAGGCACTTGATATCTGCCTTATTTGTTCTTAAGTCGGTTCTGAGTTACTCTCACACGCTTATATTTTTGAACAGGTATGATCAAAAGATACTTACAATTGTGATATTCTCAAGGCACCGAACAATTAAGAAACTATGGCTTTAGATCGTGAAATAACAACTCGATTTCAAAAATAGAACTGAAGAACTGAGCAATATAAATAAACTGTATATTCGAACTAGTTCAGTTCAATGTGTAGAATTACGAAGAACGCATTTCTATATTCGTCTAAAATTTTAAATTTCCAAGTAGAGTTCGTCATGATTCTCAATAATGGAAAATAAAAATGTACATTTGGGGATTTTTATAACAATAAAAATTATTAATTCACTAAATGAATAAATGAACTAGTTCCCTCAAATGATTTTAATTTAAAAGTGAAGTGTTTCAAATGAACTTGAGTATACAATTTTTGAACTAGACGTTCTTAAATGGTGATGCCAAATTTTGAATCAGTTGAGCTTGTTAATGTAATTTTTTGTAATGGAATTTCTAATTTTAACAGTAATGCTACTATTATGTTCTAGACTCTGATTTCATTAAAGGAACATTAAATGTTTCAATTTGTAGTGCTCAAAGCAAAATATCAACAGCACCACTAACTAGTATTAGCTTGTTTAGATACAAATCTAACTTCTCCATCAAAAATATTATTTTAAATACTAATACTAACAGAAGATAATATGCCTTTTGCTTATTTAAGTTTAGTTTAATTATTTCGAAAATTTTATTTAGTTTAGTTTATTGCTAAATTTTAAATTTCTAATATTTCTTTTTAATTAAAGCTTTAAACTAACTTTTGATTTCTTTTACAAACTTTTTAAAAAAATAATGGCGAATTTTTGCACCCAATTAATTTGTTTTCTCAAATTAATTAATAATTTATTTGAAATATCTAAAGAAATAAATATTAAATTTAATTTATTACAATCCGCAATTTGATAGAAAATTAAAAACATACATATATTTTCTTTTTCTCTTTCTTTTACAAAAAAAAAAAAAAAAAATATTTCCCAATTCAAAAAAATTAAAATGACAAATGAAAATAATTAAACAATGTAAATGTGTGGTCCGGACGTTAAACCCCTACAAAAATATTTAATTATTTAAAATTATAAAAAAAAAATATACAAACATAGGCGACCATGTTGAAAAAAGTCAAAAATAAAATGAAACGTCGCAACACAGAACCATCAATGGCCCTGGCTGGCCAACAGATGTCGCTGGCCCTGCCACCCACAACCGCCGAGGGAGATTCGGAAAGTGAAATTGCCAGCAATAATACCGATTTCTGAATATGGTACAGCGAGCGTTTGATTTAAAATGTTAATAAATTTTATTAAAAAACCACAACACCAAAACAAATACATCCCCCTCGTCAAGTGAAATTTAAAACCATAACAACAGTAAGAAGAAGAAGAAGATGAGCATTTGGAGAAGCAACAAAGTACATAACATACCATCATTATTAAATACGCCAGCAACACCATCTTTAAATTTTGCGACTTAACCAGAAATCCGGAAAATATCATCCTTAGGTTTTATTTGGATTTTAATAAAAATTATTTTTTTCCATTAAATAATTTATCCATTATAAGAAGACTTTATTATTTTGTTTTATAACTAATTTTAATTTTTTATTAATTTATGTTTTAAGAAAATTTATTAACACTTTTAAATACAAATAGCTCTAAATAGAAAAACAAATATGAAAGAAAAACAATTACCAACTCCAAAAAGAACGAAGCACAAATGGCGTAACAGGTCGCACAGAAAATTACCGCAGAAATTAAAAAAAAGAACAAGAAACCTATAGAAATTATTTTTTAAATTAACTTATAAGTAAATGTAATTTAGATTTTAGATTATCAAAAGAAAAAGTTGAAAAGGGCGGCAAACAAAATTAAACCAAACGAACAATTGGCCGGATGTATTGAACAAGAACAACAACTAAAGCACAAAAATCTGCTGCTCATAAAAAAAAATCGACAACAACAAGAGCTTTTGAAAGTACCATGATCTTGATGAAGTAGAAGAAAAAAGTATTTTTTATTTTATTTTCTATTTAATAAACAAGAAAAACAAATTTATTTTATATATTTTTATTAAATTTTTTAAGGAGTTAAAAAAACATATATTTTCTATTAGTTATTATTTTAATAAATTAATTTAAGTTATTGATTTTTATGTTGTTCTCTTAATTAAGGGTTTATTATTTTAAAAATAAGTTTTTTGGTAATATTAAAAATAAATTCAGAAAAATAATTTTAATTTTTTGATTTTTTCTATTAAATCTAAACAAATATTGCAAATTTAATTTTTTATTCACAATATATTAAATTTATATTCAAATAATGAAACATCTATGATGTAGCATATATACAATGTGTAAATTATGTGTTCATAGAAGTACACCTTCGATTTAAAAGTTGTATGCGAACTATATTTCTCAAAAGAATTTTCCAGTATTTTCGGATTTTCCAGTATTTTAAATCCTATTCTGACCGCAAAAACAAAACTCCAGGAACTATTGAATTCTTCCATTTTCTTCCGATAAGTCACCAATAGATAACTCAACGACTATCTGATGTCATCAAAATATGACTTTCTGCAAGAAGAAGCAGAAAGCTTAAAACTTTTGCCGCAATAAGAATTGTTTAGAAAAATTGAAACCTAATTCTGTCCGTCAGCGTCATAATAATACTGATAGTGTTGCATTATATCACTTGTATACTTGTTGTGTTGTCTAATATTCATATTTTGTTGTTCGTCTTTGTGCAACCAAAACTTTCAGATCTAACGCTACTCTGTAGATTTACAACACCTACAAGTCAATACGCCAGTATCCTAAATAATATGTTCCGTATATGTTGAGAAACCAATTTTTATTCAGCGAGAAAAATATTAGGAATGTCATAACCACTTTTGAGATGCCGTATAAAATTTCTAGAAGATGTAAAATAAAATCAAAACTCCTAAAATCATATTTATAATTTGGAAAAAGTATTGGTTCCAATAAAAATATTGGTTGTAGTAATTTTAAATTTGGAACCTTATTCCTCTTCGGAGATGCCTAATAAAATCGAAATATCTTTCGACAATCTCGTTCCTAAAGCCTTTCGATCTTTTTTGATTTGCTCCATAAAATGAACCAGGTCTTTCATTTAGATTAATCGTTCATTGGTACACATCTGCAAATTCGGTCAACGGAGAGCAGTTGGATCAAAAGGAACTAGGTGAACTAGAGCAAAAATTAACGAATGAAAAAGAATTTGTACCGATCATTCGTTTTGCAGAATCGTTCCTTTAGACTAGTTCCAACACATTAAACAACCTATTTGTCTTTTCCAATCTTAATAATTTTCTTCTGCTGCATAGCAGCTGAAAAATAAAATTCAAGATAATCAATCTTTAATAGTTTATAAGATAAATCTTCCGAACATAAATTATTCAACTAATTTGTAAACCAATGGATTTATTTAGTTCATGAACAAATGAACTGAATCGAACGATTCCCTGAAAAGAGAGTATGAGCTCGGTTCGTTCACATAGTTCCTTTATGTTCAGTTTATTAATTGAAAAAATTAACGACTGGAGCAAAAGGCACCATATGAACGGGATAACATGACCTAGTATCGATCGTTCATTTTGCAGAATAGTTCTTTTGGACTAGTTCCAACAATCCTATTAAATATCCTTCTGCTGCATATCATCTGCAACATAAACTTCAAGACAATCGTAAATATTTTAAAAGATAAATCTTCGGAACATAAATTATTTAACTAATTTGTAAACCAATGGAGTTTTTTAGTTTATGAACAAATAAATTGAAATTAACGATTCCCTGAAAATACACTATGAACTAGGCCAGTTTACATATTTCCTTTAAGTTCAGTTTATTAATTAAACGAATTGTTCAGGAAAGGAGGGTAATGATACATGTTGCTCTCCCTTGTCCATATTTCTCAAGAATATTTTATTCATAAAAAGAAGCAGTTTATCTTTCTGGATGGCCTTTTAAATAGGCCTTGGTAGTGAACTATGAACGAGATGAATAATGAAATAAATGAAGGAACTAGTTCAATTAAAAGTGATCATAGCTATGTGTGAACGTCACTGAGAATTCTCCCCCATGAAACAGCTGATGAAAATGATAATAAATAAAAACGGCTCGAACTTTTCCAGTTAGCTTCGCAAAAACAAATAAGTTATTCTTTAGTTCCATAGTTAATTTTAGTTCAATCGTTCAATGTCACACGCCAGTTAATCCGGTTGAGATCTAGATGAACGATTACTTCAAAAGGAACGAGTTGAACGAGAGCAAAATGGAACGACTGGAGCAAAATTAAACTAGGAAGAATCGCACCTATGACAGGTCGTTCTTTTGTGAAATACTTAATTTGAAATAGTTCCTTCCGGAACGACCCAACTTATTGATTCAGTTTTATATCATCAATTACGGATTTGGTGAACGAGAGCGAAATGGAACGAATAAAGCAAAATTTAATAAATGGAAGAACCGGACCTAGTACCGATCGTTCCTTTTGTGAAATAGTTCCTAGCATTCCGTAGTTTCTTTTGTGAAATAGTTCCAGTAAAATCAGTTCCACTAGTTCCCATTGTTCATTGTGGTCATCATCCATGATTGGATAAAGTGGTGACATGTGTAACACAAATATATATTTTTTTAAATTCGAATCATGAAAATTTATTTCTAGACTTTATAATAAAAGTTTCATTTTCCATAAAAATTCAAATACTTAATTATATTGAAAATATTCACCATATATCTACAATATATCTTAAAAAATACATTTTTAACTGTTTTTTATTTTATTTATTGTTAAAATTATAAACCCTTAACAAAGAGTACATTATGTTGCTTTTTTAAATTTTTTTAAATTGTTTAAATATTTTGATTTTAATTTAAAAAACAAATAATATTTAAAAAAATATAACAACAACAAACAATTAAAATTGGCTTGACAAAACAACAAAATCAAGAAGACCACTATATACTAATATTAAAAAATGAAAATAAAAAATTGGAAACAAAAGTAATAAAATATGAAAATAAAACACGGGAAAAGAAAAACTTTTAAACGAAAAGAAAATTAAGAACAATTTCAAAGACCAATATTAATGATAAAAGAAAAAACGAAAAGATTTCCCTCAGAAAAAATTGTAAATCAACAAAAATAAATGGAAGAAAATTCCTCCTCCCTGGACATGTCAAGTAAAAACAATTATTACAACAAAAATGTAACTAAAAAAGAACAAAACTTGAACCTGAAAAGTAAAAATTCCCACAGAACAAAGTAATGCAAAAACAGCAGTTCTAAAAAATTGAACCAAAAAACATGAAGTACCTTTGTAATTAATGAAAAAATAACAAGTAAATGAAACTAAATATATATTTTAGACAAAGGAAGAAGCAAAAGAAGAAGATGATAAAGAAATAAGAACATAATATGGAAAAGATTAAAGCTTCTTCAAAATAACAAAAAAGAAAATTAAAAGAAAACACATAAATTTGACCAGACAAAATGGAAATACAGTAAATGCATGAAAATTGTTGATAAATGCCAAATTGAAATATATGAAAATAAACCCAATTAGAGACGTTAAATTTTTTGAAAGAAATCAATGGCATGTATTTTTAAAAATGGAATATGATAGGCATTTGTCAAAAATTTTCTTCGCTACTGTATAAATTCTTAAAGAAACAACAAAAACCAAAATCTCAATGAATTGAAAATGAAAAAAAAAAACCCAAAATATTTCCTTTGGAAAACAAATTATAAAAAGAAATTTCCTGTTTCAAAGCTTAAACAAATGAATTGGTTTGTATTTTCTTTTTCTTAAAAAAAGGAAAAACATAATTCCAATATTTTTATTTAATTTTAAATAATTTTGGAAAATTACCACAAACAAAAATTAAACAATTTTTTTTTTGGATTAGAGGTTGAAAAACATTTCAAACTAAATTTTTTTCTCAAACAAAATAATCAATATTTTTTAACAAACAACCAAGCAACAACCTCTAAGAAATTTTGAATGAAAATTATACAAAATTTTATTTTAAAAGAAAAAAAACAAATGAAGAACAAACATTTAAATATTTTAACTAAATCATCATCTGCATCTAAACATCAAAAACATTTCCCCCCTGGCGAGTATCATTTTAAATTTTGAAATAATTTTGTATGTCTCCCCTCTGGTCTAGACACGGAAATCCAGTGGTGAGACCTAAAATAATTTCAAGATTTCCATTCCACTTGAATCATTGAAATGCACCTCATAAAACCACACACACACAACCGTAAGCACTACCAAAATTACACCCTCCCCCT